GGGGTGCTGGGCTATTGAGGTATTTTGTCTTTTAACGTCTCCGGTACTTTCCCCCCAAGGCTGCCTCCGCCCCCCGCATCCCGGCCACGCGGCTGGCCCTGCACCACTTCGACAGCACCTACGGCCTGCAGCTGAAGGGCCGCTGGCCCTCTGTCCGCGCCGGCCTGCTCTGCGAGCAGAAGTACGGCGCCCTGCTCAACAACTTCTCTGCTCTCGACGTCTCCCAGGAGCTGGAGCTGCTGAGCGCCACTGATTTTGTTTCCCAAGCCCCCCAAAAGGTGCAGCAATGGCAGCAGGGCACCGCCGCAGCGGAAGCGGAGGGAGGGGAAGGCGGGTCCCAGGAGGTGCCCGGCGAGGGCAGGACAGCGATGCAGGCAGAGAGAGTGGCACAGGTGGAGACATCAGCACCGCTTCGTGCCCCCATCAGCTCCCACATCAAGTGTTACACCTTCCCCCGGGGCGACGTCACGCGCTTTCACCCTGCACGGTGAGATGTCCTGGGGCGAGTCACTGGCCATCGTTGCCAGCCACAGGGGCTGCATGTGTGTGAGCGCCTGCGGCCTCCGTACGTCCCCGCTCTCACTTCCAACTGCTGTTTTCTTTTCCTCTTGCACATTTGCTGTTTTTCACACAAACTGATGATTTCCAGACCAGACGCTCTAGGGCTGTTGAGCTATTATCTCCTGGATGCTGCATCTCTCCTGCCCGTACTGGCACTCAACGTGCAGCCAGGCGACTTTGTCCTTGACCTCTGTGCGGCTCCAGGCGGCAAGACTCTGGCTCTGCTGCAGACTGGGATTTGTGGTAAGTAGAGGTGGGTGTTCCTTGTCCCCATCAGCGAAACAGGGCTGGAAGAGTGAGTGTGCTGTGCCCATTAGTGTCTGACCGTTCAGCATTTCTGGTTATAAGAATTGTGAATCGGGTGTGATTTTGCAAGAGTGACATTCCCGGTGTGCCTGTCTTGTCCTCTCAGGGCATCTGGCAGCCAACGATGTCTCCATTTCCCGGACAAAGAGGCTGTACCAGATTCTGCATAGCTACATTCCCAAAGAAATCCGAGAAGCTGTGAGTGTCACATCCTATGATGGAAGGGACTGGCAACAGCTGGAAGGTGGCACTTTCCATAAGGTAGGTGATTTGGAACTGCTGAAGATAAACTCACCTAGTTCACTTCCCCTTGTTTCAGAGGTAGACAGCAGCCTACCCTCTGGTATAATTGTATAGTTTTCCATAGCCTTAAACGCAGAGAACAAGAGAAGACTAAGCCACATATGGAGCAGTATTTCCTCCTGCTGTACCTGTCCTGTAGGATGTGGTGCAGATGGGCATCCAGAGTGGTAGTATTATTCACCTGTATAATACCCCTTAAAAATCCTGTTTTAATCCATCCCCTGGAAGGGGTTAAATGTGAAGATTAGATAATCCTTGTTTCTCAGCGTAGCACAGTCACAGGAGCTGGGCTTGTTGCTCCAGGAGGTGTCAGTACAGGAGCTCTGTCTGTTTGTGGTTGCAGCTGTAGGTGGTGACCTGACACCTGTCAGGAAGACACACAGAGCAGAAACATTAAATGGGGACATGAGTGAGAGCATGATGTTATCCACCATTTCTGTGTCTGTTCATACATTCTGGAAACACAAAACCAGCTAGAAAAGTTACGGTTTGGTGTGGGTGCACACCTGAGCCTTGGGCAGCTGGTGTACCATCTGGGCAAGGTATTGAGAGCTGCTTGGTGTGTGGCCAGGGTGGTGGAGTTGGACGAGGGGCAGGCTGCAGTAGGAGACTTGCTGAACTCTACATTGGCCTAGAGCTGATACAGGACCGCTGCTGCTGCTGCAGGTCCTCGTGGATGTGCCCTGCACGACGGACAGGCACTCTGTTATGGAGGAGGAGAACAACATCTTCCACAAGAGAAGAACCAAGGAGCGTCAGATGTTGCCCATGCTGCAGCTGCAGCTGCTGATGTGAGTGAGCTTGGTGCTGTGGTTTGGTGCTGTTGATGTTACAGCAGTAGCTCTCCACGGCCAGCATTGAAAACTCTTTTTGCTTTGTGTCCCCCAGCTGGCAAAGTGGAAACCCTGTGTAGTTTTCTGGAATGGCAAAAAATCATAATAAGTGTAAGAAGGTGCAAATGTTCTTGGTCAGATCAAATATTCTTCTTGTCTGCCAGCAGTAGCCATAGGAGGTAGGGAGGAGGATCTAAGGAGCAGGATGGGTATAATGTTGTCCTTTTGTGTGATGAACTCCTGGTTCCTGACAGTCAGCCCTGGAGTACTAGTGAGTGTCCACATTTCCCAGCATGTGGGTGGACATGGGGGCACTTTGTCACCCCATTTTGCTGGGAAGGCTGGATGGGCTAACTGCAAGCTGGGACAATAAGGAAACAGATTAGAGAGTCCCTGGCAGTGCTTGTACTGTACATTCTGTACAGCCTCTTCCCCTGTACATACTCTTATCCCTTTCCTTTGGAGGTGAGTGCAGGATTACTCCTTCCAGCTGCTTCCCAGTAGTGCCTCTCCCATGTTAGTGCTTTATCAGTCTAAGCATCTATATGACCCATGTTGCCCAACTCTAAAACAGTTCTCAAGCTGTGGTGACACTGAGACTGCTGAGCCTATGGAGTTCAAGATTTGTCTCTCACCTCCTATGAGTTACAGGCTGGCTTCCCTTTTCCAGTGGGTGGGAATGCTGATGTCCCATGAAGTCCTCTTCTTCCTGTGACGGTGTGTGTGTTCATCTTGCTCACAGGGCTGGGATCCTCGCTACCAAGCCAGGAGGAAGTGTTGTGTATTCTACGTGCTCTCTCTCCCCGCTGCAGAACGAGCACGTGATTGAGAGAGCAGTAGAAATTGCAGAGACCCAGTTTAACATCAGTATCCACGTGGAGGACTTGAGCCACTTTCGCACCCTCTTCCAGGACACGTTTTCCTTCTCCTCGGATTGCCGGCTAGGGGAGCTTGTTCTGCCTCACCTCACAGCCAACTTTGGGCCTCTGTATTTCTGCAAACTACGTCGGACATAGAAGGGGCGACAGACTGTCTGATGGCTGTCAGGAAATACCCCAAATTTCCAGGGAAGGCAAAAGCGCTTTGTATTTATTTTTCTTTTTAAAATGTCCCAAAGGGAACCTGCCTTTTTACTGCAGACTTAGAGAATAAACGAGAAGGACCTGATGTGGAGTCTCCTGAGTATTTATCTGAGACTGAGGTGTTTAATCTAGGAAAGAGGGAGAGGTCTTATCAGAGGAAGCGATTTATCCTTCTGTCTTGGGGTGGGGTAAATGGCCCTGTGTTGATGCTGCTCTTTTCTTCTTGTCTGAGTGCTTCATCAGCAGGTTTGGGTTAGCAAACACCATCTGGGAGTCTTAGCCTTTCTGTCACAGATGTCACCATCTGCATAACTGCGTTGCATCTGTCTCTGCTTATCTCCTAGTTTCAGGAAGAGCAGCCTGAGGTTCTGAAATAAGAGGTTCCCTGAGAACGTCCCCCCTGTGAGGTTAGAAATGTGCTTGGGCTGCTCAAGAGCTGGTGCTGGAAAGAGCTTGATGCTGTGGAGAGGCCAGTGACTGTTTCTTTCCCTCACAGGTGAGAAAGCTGTGGTTGAGAGGGAAGGTGTGAACACTCCCATGCTAGATGCCATTTAATGTCCAGTGGGAAAGTTTTTGTGTGATTCTGACTAATAACTGCATTCATATAATCATAGCCATCAGTGAGGGATTACTGGAATTTACAGGAAGAGTTGCTTAATAGCTACATTTTTATTTTTGTGAGCAAAATACAGTGATGGGGAGGCTAGATGTGGCTTTATTCCTTACAGGGCAGTCCATGGTTACCTCTATATGAAGGTACTCCAGTGCCAGCAAGAAAATACTATTGAACTTTTGTGATCCTTTTCTCTCAGCATCACCCTGCTTCTGCAAGAGTGATGGAAATGAGGGTGAACCCCCATCCATATCCATCCATCCTTCCAGGAAGGTGCAGTTCATAGTTCATGAACCCAGCTTAAGCCAGTCCTTAAGTCCATTGCATCTTGGTTCCTTCCAGGATCCGTGTTTATTGGCAAGGAGAGGGGTCAGGAAAAGGCTTTTCCTTCCTCCTTCCCTCCTCGGTGTGATCTCTGCAGTGCCTGTTGCAGAGGAGAGGTCGTGCGGCGCTGTCCCCTTCTCCTCGCCTCTGGCCCTGCTGGGACCGTGGAGGCTATGCCGCTTTCTTCTCCCGCCTGAGGGTCTCCACCTCCTTCATCAGCCGGAGGCACAGCTCCTCCTGCCACGGCAGGGCCACGCACTGCACGGCCACGGGCAGCCCCACACCTCCTGCCACGGCCTGCAGCGGGGGCGCAAGTGGTGAGGGGTTACCTGGGGGCTCAAGACCTCCAGAAGCTTTTGGAAACTTGGTTTAGGCACGGGGCTCGTCTTGGGGGGTGGGGAGGTTGGAGGCTGAGCCCTGCTCTTCAAGCAGTGTTAGTGCACTGGGGCAGAGGGATGGCTCTTGCTGTTCTTGTGATAGAAGTGGCTGATAAATCTTGGGCAGTGTTTTTTAAGACACCCACACACCCCCTCCCCAGCCAACTCTGCATTGAGGAGTCTTGCAGCCAGATCCCTTTTCCTTCAGCATCCTCATTCCTGATCCGTGCTCTGCTGACAGCCTGGCCTGGTGAAGGCGTCATGGAACAGCAGGAAAGTGCAGTGCTGTGGGCTGTCACTGTCACAAGCACCTACTCAGAGAAAACTTGCTGCATGGCCATTTTCTGGTTCCAGCTTATCATCCAGCCTGAGGGTGCTCCCCCAGTCCTCTCAAAGCTTAGTGGCTTAAGCTTTTGGGGGCTTGGGAGAAAAGAGATTTGCAAGGGGTATATAAAGAAGAGGTGCAATGTGCTCATGTTGATGGAGACATTTAAGTGCCCCAGATTTCAGTGAAACTATTACTTGAACATCTGTCAGTCGTCTCTGCTTCACCACTTTCCATGTCACATACCTGTTTCAGCATCCGGTCCCAGGGGTCATCACAATATCCGTGGTAAAGCTTTAGCTCTTCCTCATCAGCTTCTGTCACCGTGCTGACAGGTACAACCCCCGCGGGGAAGTTCAAGACATTGTACAGCATCGTGGAGGAGATGGCAGCTGAGAGAAACAGAGGAGAATGCAGATAGTTACAGCCTCCTGTCTTCTTTCAAACTTACACATTATACATTCACTGGAGCCCCTGAGAACCAGCTGCTGCTAGGAGGAGAGATTGAACAGAGCTAGTCATCTGTAAGCCCAGGTTCTACTGCAAGAAACAACTGCTGTCAGATAACTTCATGTGTCTGTCTCCATCTGCTCAGGTAGCTTTATGGTAGTTACTTTTCCTTCCTAATGCCCATAAAATGCTTAGGTGGGTGCTGAAGCTCCATGGTAAGTGGCTGTTTATGTCCAGTTGCAACCACGGTGGTCCTCTGCCCGCCTGGGAGGGTTCCAGGCTACACTTACTGAGGAGCTTCCCAGGGTATCGCGTGGTGAAGGCAGGCCCTAGGACAGGGCACAGCACAGCGTCGAGCCGCAGCTCCCTCCACTGGGCAATGAACTCGGTGCGGTACGCCTTGGGGAGGAGAGGGGAGATGCCATAAAGCCTCAGCTGGTAGCGTGATGCCAGAGAGAAAAGTCCTCAGAACATACCTCTATTTGATGGTGATGATTCCACATCTCCTTCACTGACCTGCAAGTGGAAATTACAGCAACATTTTTAAGCTTTTAAAGGAGGAGGAATTGCTGCAGGTTGATAAGCCCCAGTGATTTTAGCATTTACTTAATACATCTTTCACAATGTGTCTAAAGTTTCCTTTGGCATTTGGTAAAGCAACGAATGTCTGGAAGTGGTAGAGAAGGCTTCTCTTGTGAGCCTGGATTTAGTACTCATCCCTGCCACAGGTCCTGTACGACCTTATCCATCCAAGTCCTTCCATTCTTTCAGGGTAGCACTGGGGCAGTGTGACACTGGGGAGGTGTGTTCATGAAGGCTGAGGCCACGTCCAGAGCGAAGCGACAGCCCCTGCAGAGAGCAGGTCAGAGCCTGTCGTGAATCTGGTTCCCCCCACCCCAGACATTTAGAGGAGAAGGTATCATTCATTTTCAGGGATATCCCTGGGGATGATGCCATCTTACCTCATTCCAGCTAAGGCACTCAGGTAGTCAGCCAAGCGGGGGAACTGGAAAGGCAAGATGTTACTGCCAGGAACATGACATCGGGGGTGCAGTAACTTGTGCCCCCCTGGGAAATCCCTGGTCCCATCCCACCTCCATCCCTAGGGATGCTGCACTGAGGGTGAATGACGATGATTAAAAATGCTCCTCATGGTTCTGAATTTACTTTGCTTCCAATTCCTGGTTGTTGGTTCCAAATTTGTTCTTACACCCCAATATTTCCTGCTCACAGAGGAATGCATTGGCTTAAACCAAGTCACCTTTCATTATTTTTGATAAATCAAACATTTTTTAGCTTGCTATCTCACACTGATAATGCCTCCCACTCACTGCTATCTCTTTGATCCTGTCAGCTGAGAACAACCCAGCTGTACAGAGAAGCAGAGAAAATGGAGGGTAGAGGAGAGAAGCCCTGCAAAAGGATGCTCATCTGATGAAAGGGCTGCAGTTAGGGCCAGACCCTACTGATCACCAGGAGTCTTCACAAAAGCGTGATCTTTGGGAGGTCTCCAACACAGGGATAAAGCTTCAAACTTGAGTCCCTCTGCTGCAGTAATCCCAATGGATGAAACTATAGGAAACAGCACTGCTAAGTCTAGCGTTTGAAGAACTACTTGCTGTGGGCTCTGTATTCATCTTTTACAACTCTTGGTTTGTCCTTCTCTCATTTCCCTTTGGACTGGACGAATCCCAGCAGGGGTCTAGAAAAGACGTCCCAAAGTGATAGCATGTGCCTTGGCCCGAAATCCCAGTGTTTCTAGTTAAAGGTGTCTCTTGGTACCATCATGCTTTTAAGCACCTCAAGACCTTGATGACACTCCTCTGCTATGAGCCTGAGGCCAGGGACTCACCAGAGGTTTAAGGATCAGAGCCAGCAGCTTCTTTACCAGCCTCGGGATCTTGCAGCAATTCACCTGTGGTTGCAAGCCTGGATCTACAATATCTCCTGTGCTGAAAGACAAAAGGAGGGGATCACAACAGAGAATCTGTTTGTCCTTTCTCAGAAACCTGAATGCCTCCTGTTTGGGGTGGGAGAGACGAGCTTGTTTTGCCTGTGTGTTGTGCTCATGAGTGTGGAGGTGTTTTACAACACTCCTGCCAGAGGGCTTCTACTTACAACACGTCCAGCCAAGCACGACCTCCATCAGCAAAAAAGGTCTTCAAAAACAGCTCAGTCATGACGTAGTGGATCCGAGGTGGAGAAAAGGGCACCAGCTGCACCAGAACACAAGATTATGTGGCAGCCTGGGGATGTGAATAATTTCCAAGGCCCAGATGTGGATATACTTCAAAGGCAGAAGAGCAGCATCTCCTGAAGTTCCACATAGCAATGGAGGCCCCATTTCAACCATTTACCAGCCTGGGCGTGTCCCCATGGGATCATTCCTCCCTGACTGCTGTTTGGCTCAGCTCTGAGATTTTGTCAGGGCTGTGTCTGCTCCAGGCAGTCACTGAGCCAGAAACTGCACCAGTTTCCCACCTATCACAGCAGAATCATCTCTCAGATAAGGACTCAGTTTGCTATGAAGAGCGCTACTCTCCACAGGGAGAGAAAGGTGTTTCCCATCCAATGTCCCACAGTTCTTTTCCTTCAGTGGTCCAGGAAGAACAAAGTCTCCATGGACTCTGGGGTGGAAGTGTAAAAGCACCTCTCAGAGCCTTGCTGGGGAACAACAGACCTAGAAAATGCTGGGGCAGCCTTCCAGGGTCAAATGCAGCACTTTATGGATGCTGCTGTCTTCTGTGGACCACAGCCACCGGATCAGAGATGGGTTACTTCCACCCGTGCCCCTGGAAGGTACAAGCTTGCCAGTCACTAGTGCTGCTTCTCCATGAGATGCACTGGTGCACAGGGTGGGCACATGTCTGCGTCGGGTACGTGGCTGTAGTCACTTAATCTCCTATCTCCCACAGGTCGTTCATCCCCCAGCTGTTCTTGGGGGCTATGTCTGTTTCCTGAAGGGTGATTTCAGCAGTGAGGAGCAAAGCTGGGC